CTTTTGGGTGTTTCATTTCCACCAGCCAGTAATGCTGGTGGGCGGGCAGTCCCTCCGGACTACGCCGGAAGGTAGGGCGGAAGGCCCTCTTCAGCCTGCTTTCAGGAATCGTGGGAATGGGTGGGTGGTGGTTCGGGTAAGAAAGTTGAGACGGACGAAATGAAGACAGAAGAGAGTGAAAGATTATCTGTGGAATATTACTGCCCCAGCATTTACCTAAGTGATCCAAGGAAACCACAGAAAAACTTGAACCAAGGCAGACGGGCGGACCCGGAATCGAACCGTATAAGTAAAGCCATTATCGAAGTCTACACTGATATCCTTGTCTAACCTAACCTAACTTAACAAATATGACAGCCAATACATATTCTAAAAACATAGTCTCGAAAATATGATTTGTACGTATAACAGCTACAATTTCGAAGATAATAAAATTGAGTTCCTTGTGCTGCATCATTCAAATGAAACTTGTATTTCCAACTGAACTATTTCAAATAAATATGTAGACAATTAAGATGATATAAGGAGTATATATTATTGTATATCGACTTCAGTCAATAAACGAAAGTGTAAAGCCTTCAGTGCCAGGAACGTTAAATAGATTGACTTATCTTTGATCCCACATACAAACCTACGTTACTATCTACCCATATGTAAATGTGTACGTTCTATGTACACCAACTGATAAGAACATCGCAATCGGTGCCACCAAAAGTCAATTTACGGTTACGATTAGGAATAATCTATTAATTTATACGACCATCTATGCGTACATTAATCTATTTACGTCACATCGAAACGTGTAAATCCTCTTTGAAACACGAATAGAAGTGGAACTACCGGTGGCACTGGTTCGTCGATTTCCAAATATAATAAAATAATTAACGCCGCATTACCGCTTTATGTGATTACATTTAGAAACCATCTAATCGCCATAGTTCCGTAACTGGATGTATTAAAGGAAAAAAGGATAATACAGTGATTACGAACGATGTGTTTTAAAAATTTTGCAGGAAAACGGAATTCCGATTCACACTTTTCCACCTTATCGGAAAATTTAGCAACTAGCGTTTCACAAGACGAATCGGGCATTTGAAATTTGAATTTTGTTAAACCGCGTTAATAGATATAGGGTTGTTCGGAAAGTCATTTGTCAAAAAAACTGTTTAGCGTCTCTGAACGAGAGACTCGAGTCTCTCAATTTTTCAGTTTTATTCATTCAGTCTCTCCATGAGAGACTCGAATCTTTGAACTAACAACTTTATCGTTCGAGTCTCTCATACAGAGACTGTAAGAGATACATAAAAACACCTAGGCAATAACTAAGAGACTGTGAGAGACGTTCTCAGAGACGCTGAAAGACTCTGAGAGACTGAAAATTTTTGTCTAGGGTAGTAGGACAGATAAAATTAAGAATTTAACATGGCGGCATATTCCAGCCAATTGAATATCTCACGCTTTCTATTCTTAATATTTTTAATTGCAATCCAATTTTAAACATAATCAAAATGTTATTACAAAAAAGGGCATTAATCACTATATTTGAAAATTTTGTGCCTTTATTTTTCAATATTTGTTTAAATAATACTTCTTTAATAACTAAATTGTTGTTGCAGGATTAACTTTCTAAAATACACCCCTCCTCCTAAAAACTTGGATTATCTACAAAATTCTGAGGTGTTTCGTCTTCTACATGAAATGGATCCTCCACCTCGAAGAGGTATAGCTGCCAGACCGGAAATAATTCCTGCAGTACAGGATATATACGAAAAGGTTTAAATATTGAGATCCAAGCTTATATTTATGCAAATAAATTCATGAATAAAAATAGTTAAATCATTGAAGCTCTTGTATTTTCAAATACAATTGTAAAATAAATATTTAAATTTTTAGAGAACTGCGAACAGAGAAGACTCAACGTCAGATGGAATGCAGCGTTAATTAAGTAAAATACATTTTCATTATTTTAGTTGTTTTGTTTATGTTATTTATTCAATAAAACAATTTCGCTCTAAGAGTTTTTGTTGCTTGAAATCAAACGTAAAAGATGGTAAGTGGTCATTTGTGATGCAAAACTGCCCATTGCAAACTTTATAATTTTTAGGTATAGGGTCATGGGGTTCAAACAAAAGATTTTGTTTTAAATATTTAGTGAGTATTCAGAATCGCTTCGCTTGGTTAGTTGAATAAAATTTGCCACACATTGTGTAGACCGTGATTGTGTTGAAAAATAAGTCCTAAATTTGCCAAAAAGCATTTTTCATTTCATTTTCTGTCATATTATTTTCGTTCCCGTACTACGCGCTGGTGTGCAAAATTGCACTGCAACCCAAAATTGAAAACCGTATGCATTCAATTTCACTTAATGTTTATGCAAAACTATGCAATTTTGTTTATTTAATTAGCAAAAAATATCCAAATTCTCTATGAACATTATCAGATTACGATATCAAGATTTTCACACACTTGAAGCCTTATTTTTATTTTGATATGGATTTACAGATAGCTTTAAATTTAAAATGGAAGCGGTATTGACAAAACAGTATTGTATGAAAATAAATAAAAGTAACATAAAAATAGTGGTATGCAAGGAAAGAAAAAGTAGGGAAGAATGAATGTGAAGGTAGCAGACGAAAAATTAGAAGAAGTGACTGATTTTAGGTACCTATCTAGGAAATCAGATAAGTCAAGACGTAAGACGTAGTAGGGATATAAAGCAGAGGGTTGTGCGGGCTCGAGTCGACTGCAATAAAAAGAAGTCACTTCTATGCTCGCGAACGGTTAATTTAAAAGTTCGGAAAAGATTGTTAAAGGTGTATGTCTGGGGCGCGGCGCTTTACGGGTGCGAAACCTGGACAAAGCGTTCGAAATGTGGTGTTACAGGCGAATGATGGGGATACCGTGGATAAAGAAGGTTAGAAATGAAGAGGTATTAGAAGTAAGAGAATAGAGGACTCTATGAAAGTCAATAAGAAATAGGCGAGATAGGTTAGTAGGACACCTTCTCAGGGATGAAGGTCTAGTCAGAGACATATTAGAGGCAGAAACGTTAGTTAGGAGGGGTAAAGGTAGACCTAGATTAGATTACTGTTCGCAAATAGTTAAGGATATGAGTGTTCTAGTTTTAGGAAAATGCGAAGTTTAGCTCAGGATAGGAAAAAGTGGAGGTACGTGTCCAACCAGTCTTAGGACATAGGACCTTATGATGATGATGACGGATTTTCATAAAGGAAGAAACTATTCAAACATCATGATTATTTATGCAATTAAATTTTACTTCCTGGCCGAATGGAATGGTGGTGCAGATAACATAAATACAAATAAAAATTAGCGTGCGACCTGAGACACCCTTTATCTTTCTCGTTAATTATGTGCATAGTACCTACAGTTCATTAGTAATATTATCGCTACTCAAGCCGACGTAGGTTATCTTCTTTTTATATTTTTCTCTATTTCTGAGAAAGGGTCTAACTACTAAGTGCATAGGTATCATGATAAGTTACTAAGTTACTTTAATCTGTAATATGATTTTATTAAATACAGATAGCATACGTATACGTACGTGCTGATACTAAGCTATAATTATTTTCATGCTGTTTTATAGGTATTGATTTCAAAATACACCTCATAAAATTGTTAGGTAATGTATGCGTATCTGCAAAGGTAGGTAGCATATCTAACCGAGTCATTCTGTATGCATACTTGTTCATATAGTTTTATATACGAGGGTGGATTGATAAGTTTCCGGCCTAACCAAGAGATGACGCCACTAGGCCTACCTTGAGGTGACATTCTATAGTACCATCCTTGGATAGCTTGTAGCTATAGTTTCAGCCCGATCTCCTTGCTAGTGTAGGTTTGACAGCACGCTGAACAAGACGCCTCTGTGGTTTTCGTAAAAATGGAAAAGCAGGAAAATCGTACTGTCATCAAATACTTTTATTTGAAGGGGTTAACGCCGAAGGAAATTAAAAAAGAGATGGACTCAACACTGGGGACATCCTCCCCGTCATATTCAACCGTTAAGCAGTGGGTTTCCGAGTTTAAAAAGGGTCGTGTGAGCACCTCTGATGGGCCTCGCTCAGGACGCCCCGTTGAGGTCACAACTCCAGATATGATCGAAAAAATTCATCAAATAGTGCTGGGAGACCGCAGATTGAAAGTGCGTGAGATAGCTGAGACCTGTAAGATGTCATATGAACGTGTGCAACATATTTTGCACCAACATTTGCATATGGAAAAGCTCTGTGCAAGATGGGTGCCGCGTTTGCTAACAGTCGACCAAAAATTGATTCGAAAAAACATTTCTACCGCAAATTTGTCATTGTATAAGCGTAATCCAAGCGAATTTTTGCGTCGATTCGTAACCGTTGACGAAACGTGGGTCCACCACTACACTCCTGAAACCAAAGAACAGTCTAAACAGTGGATTGGACCAGGGGAACCAACTCCAAAGAAGGCAAAAACAATTTTTTCGGCGAACAAGGTTATGGCTACTGTTTTTTGGGATGCAAGAGGTATTATATACATTGATTACCTTGCAAAGGGTAATACTATCACTGGTCAATACTACGCAGACTTATTGCAACGTTTGAGCCACGAGGTGAAAATTAAACGACCTCATCTGGCGAAGAAAAAAATCTTGTTTCATCACGATAACGCACCAGCGCACACGTCAATCGTTGCGACGGCTAAAATCAACGATCTAAAGTTTGAATTGATGCCGCACCCTCCTTACTCTCCAGACCTAGCCCCGAGTGACTATTTTCTGTTCCCTAATCTCAAAAAATGGCTTGGCGGTAAGAGATTTGCGGACAATGAAGAAGTAATCGAAGCTGTAAATGGTTATTTTGAGGAGCTTGACGAATCAGTCTATAGAGATGGCATTAATAGACTGGAACACCGCTATGAGAAATGTATCAGCCTTGGAGGAGATTATGTTGAGAAATAAAAAAAAAAAATTTTTAAAAACCTTGTTTTTCTTGGTCAGGCCGGAAACTTATCAATCCACCCTCGTACATATATTTACGTTTACAGTTATACAGTGAAAAACGGTGCGGTGTATTGAAAAATCTGTTTTCATCGTCAGTGTGCATCTCTCCGTCAGAGTGCATCTTCATAAGTAGAACTACGAATGTAGGAAACAGTGAAGAAAATGTTAATACTGTTGGTATTAGTTACTATTCCCTTCTGGATTTTCTTGATCTTGCTTTGGTATGTTAAACAGTTCCGATACATTAGAGCATTTAAACGTATTCCAGGTCCCACGCCGTGGCCCATTGTGGGAAATGCATTGGAATTTACATCTTTAAATGGTGAGTATTGATGTCACATAACAGTAGCGCGCACATTTTTTTGTTGGGGGCGTAAAGAAAGTTGATGTATATATTAGGCGGAGTAGAAAAAAAAATAAAAAAACACAATCATAAAAAAATAAAATGAAGTATATATAAATTTTATACCACATTACAAACGACAAAAGGTACATGAGCTACAAAAAATTAAATAGTTTGTTATGAAATACATACTTTGATTAAGTAACATTTTTATAATATAGCATAAAATTGTTACAATCGAAACCATGCGTATGTATCCGGATCTGTTTGGATCAATATCCGGTCTAAGCACTACCATTTTCTATCTTAACGGTATAACAAAAATGTTTTATATTTAAACAAAAGAAAGGACAATACTACCGCAACACTTCGTGTTGTTTTTAGCTACTGTATGTTTTTGATCCTGGGCAATCAAATAAAACCATTCAGTTCGGTTCAGCTAAGGTTATGTGATTACGGTAGGTAAACGAAGTAAGTGTTGCCGTAGTGCTTCTTTCTTTTGTTTATAGGAAAATGCAGTAGAAGCTCGTCGGATAATTTAATCAATATTGAAAAATTCATCACATTTATTTTACTTATATACCATAATAACCGGCAGTTTGCAATAACCATTGGATTATATACATTTACTATCACGTACATCACGTATATATATTTTTTGCATATTCACATCGCAAGCATTTCAGAAACTGAACTAACTTCGTTAGAAACGGTAGGTAGTTGACGATGGTCAACCTTGTTTTAAATGTCTATCTCTAATGATTAACTAAAATAAAATATTAATATTGATACAAAATTTTGTTTATTTATATTATATTGTCGAGAAGGTTTTAGCCCGTCAGCACCGACGTGTGCGCTACTGTCATGTATTTACTTTACTTGAGTTTAAGTGTATCTAATCTACCATCTTGACCTTTGAAAGATTTTTATATCTTTCTATCTCATGTACATTGGACAATAAACAAATATATAATTATCAAGTTTTGTTTAATCCTTATACTTTCACCAATATTCCTGTATTAGAAGGGTATTCTATACGTTTTTGTCGTTCATTCTAATATGTTATTATAAATTTGTATTTTATTTAAATTAAGTTTTTATTGTAGTTATTTACACACACATTATTAAAATTTCAATAATTCCGTTATTGAGTAATTTTAACGGGATTATTACAATTATTAATGAATAAATAACTTTTTCAGGTAGTTTTTTAAAAATTAAAACTTTTTGTTGTGAAATTGATTTACGTATAATAATTTTTTGCATGTTCAACAATTAAATAAATAAGCGGCTACTAATTAAAATACGTAAGGTTTTATTACGTCTGTTAGACGTTAAATTGTTTTTCTTCTCATATAGGTATAATTACCTGTACTACTTTATGTAGTTGTATATTTTTATTCATTAAATTAATTGTAATTCTATTAACCATAATTAGCAAAGTGCATAGTAATTGTTATTATATTTTGCTATAATTTAAGATTTTTTAAAAGTGCAAATTTAGTAAATTTTTTAAGAAATTTTTGATATTGTGTTTAAGTGTACCTTTAATAGACGTGCTGAAATTAGTAAATTACACTATAGAAATAACCAGGAGGCGGTATCTTGAAATGTCTTTTTAAAAAAAAAAGAGAGAAATAAAGAGTAAACATATCTAATTATAGTTTGTAGTCAGTTTCCGGCTTCATTAGGAAAAATAGTTAATTAATTAGTGGTAGTATGCAGATCTTTAACTTATAATACGTGATTTTGATCGTATTTGATCTAATCAACACGCTGATGAATAAGTGCGGACGGCGTGTGAACACCATTTGCAGAAATTTTCTATTTATTATTAATTTCGACAAGTCGGTATCTCCACTAAAAAAGGATCTTATAGAACATTATTGAATTCCACAATAAGTAGCAAATTTTTACAAATGGCGTTCACACGTCGTCTTTATTGATAATACAGATTTTTTGACGTGCAAGGGTTACTCCCTTGTTATTTTTAATGCTAATAAATAATAATCCAAATTTTCATTCTACTATGGATTCCGGCCGTGAAAGCCTTTGTTCTTATATTGCTATAAAGTCAATTTATTTTAATAAATTTTATAGTAATTATAATTTATTGCTGCTGTTGTGTAATGTATTCCAAGTATAGTTAAATTGGTCTTGCAAAATAAATAGGAAATAAAAATATTTCAGATGTTATACCAAAAATGGTCGAATGGAAGCAAAAGTACGGAAATTTATACAGAATGATAATAGGCTATGTACCACCCAACCTTATTATCTGTGATTACAAATTTGTGGAATTCTTATTGAGTTCAAATGTAGTTTTGGGAAAATCATTGATATATAATTTTGTACATCGATGGTTAGGAAAGGGATTATTAACTAGCACTGGTATGTATAAAAATACGAAGCTTTATAATGTTATTTAAATAAATAAGAAAAGCACTACTGGAAGTAGAAGAAAAAAATGTTTATTTTTAAAAAATACGGACTGATAAAATAAAATTCTAATTCTGTGTTTATTTAATAAAATGTAAAATATTCTAAATTATATAAAAATATTTGTGATAAACAATAACTATTGCGGACGAATTCCAACCCATGACTATAAATAATTATTTATAACCCAACAGGAAATATATATGATATAAATATTACACGATCCTAATATACAGTCCGCTTTTGTGTTGAATAAATTTCTCATACGTACAAGCCTACCCTCGTCTAGTCGTAGTATAAAATTTGGTACAATACGTATTTCAATCAACATTGTTATTTATTTAGTCTCTAAAATACTAAAAGTAAAAATTTAATCAAAAGATGCTTCAATAACTTGTTATCAGAATAAAACTTTGTAAGGGTTATGTATGATTTACAGTTCGCAAAGACCAAGAGAAGATTAAAATAGTCTTGGTCTAGCGTACCTAGTTTTGCTTGTCGACAGTATGTCTTGGCTTTGAATCGCTTATTTGAGAAACCTCGCATGTCCACAAGTTCAAATTTTGAGAAAAACTGAGAAACTATTTTATTTGAAAACAAGAACGTTAATATAAAGTGTAGGTATTTGCTGTAATGTTTTTGGTAAAAACGAAAATAATTGTCCGGTCTTGTGAGAAAAAAACTACAAAAACGATGGACATGTAGGGTTTCTAAAATAAACGCACAACTTTTTTGTGAAAAATATAGGGTTATTCGGAAAGTCATTTCGTTTTTTCCCGACAGAGGCTTTAATTGTATTCTTTTGCACCCAACTTCACATTTAAGCCGCATAATTTTTATATGCTTTGAGAGCTCATATAGCAAGGCTTGTGTGTTAAAAATTCCAATTAATTCTACGCAGTAGTTTTTGGTTGGTGCCCTTTTAAATATGGAGAGCGATAAGCAGCATTTTCGACATATCTTACTGTTTTACTACAGAAAGGGTAAAAATGCTGTTCAAGCCAGAAAGAAATTGACTGATGTGTATGGAGAAGGTGTGTTGACAGTACGCCAGTGCCAGAACTGGTTCGCTAAATTTCGATCCGGCAATTTTGATGTCGAAGATGCACCACGTTCGGGAAGGCCGGTTGAAGCTGATAAAGACGCGATAAAGGCATTAGTTGATGTGAACCGGCGAATAACAACACGTGAGATCGGATTGAGGTTAAATTTATCAAATTCAACAGTTTATGACCACTTGAAAGGCCTGGGATTATCCTCGAAGCTCGATGTATGGGTTCCCCATGTTCTCACAGAGAGAAATCTGTGTCGCCGCATTGACGTCTGCGATTCGCTTCTCAAACGTCACGAAAATGATCCGTTTTTGAAGCGCATCATCACTGGGGACGAAAAATGGGTTGTATACAACAACGTCAAACGCAAGAGGTCATGGAGCAAAAAAGATGAACCGGCTCAAACCATTTCCAAAGCCGATATTCACCAAAAAAAGGTGATGCTGTCTGTTTGGTGGGATTTTAAAGGAATCGTTTTTTTTGAGCTTTTACCGGATAACACAACGATTAATTCGGAAGTCTACTGTCATCAGCTGGACAAACTGAATGATGCACTTCAACAGAAAAGGTCAGAACTAATCAACAGGAAAGGTGTAGTGTTTCACCAAGACAACGCGAGACCTCACACAAGTTTGGTCACTCGCCAAAAGCTTTTACAGCTTGAATGGGATACAATGCTACACCCACCATATTCTCCAGACCTGGCACCATCGGATTATTATTTGTTCCGGTCACTCCAAAATTTTTTAGACGGTAAAACCTTCACCTCAAATGAGGAGGTCAAAAACCTCCTCGATCAGTTTTTTGCCAGCAAAGACCAAAAATTTTATGAGCGTGGAATTATGCTACTACCAGAAAGATGGCAAAAGGTGTTGGACCAGAACGGTCAATATATAATTTAATAATAAATCAATAAACTAGCGACCAGTCACAATACCTTTCTCCTCCTTGCTGCAGTTAAAGTGTAAAAAGTTAGACATCATACATCGGAATAGAAACTTTAGCATCTTTTCTAACACTCCGTAGACAAAGAATTGTTTTTTATAGTCTTTATTAATCAATGTATTCTCTTCGTCAATGAGATAAACGGAAAATTTGTGCACTTGAACTGACAATCAACGAAACATAATCTTTAAGCAGAAAACCCCCGTCATTTTTACTAATTTTTTTCTTTACCACGGCGAAATCCCTGTCGCATGACATGTAGGAGTGCTCCCTGATGGGGAAATATTGGTTCAAATTTTGAAATCGTCTGAGATCTGTGAAGCCTAAGCACATTGTAATAACTGAATGGTTCTTATTCTAACCTCCGCATTCGTCAAAAAAAATATGAACATACTCAATGTTGGTCGGATTTTTTTTTGTCCATACATTCCTGGTATATGTACATAAAACCTGGTTTTTCCAGTTTTAAGTTCGTTGATATTAAAAACACTGACATTTAGTTGATGCAGATAAAATGTGCCTTGAACTGGAATAACAGGGAGGGAAAGATTTTGTATGTAGTCCACGCAAATTGCTTCTACATTGGCATTTGTTTAGCATAATTCTTAAATCTACCTCATTTTGCTATAGAATTTTTTGGCTCATCTTTGGTGAATAATTTTCTCTGCCACAGCTACATGTTTAACAATGTACTGCCGTAGACTTTATTTTGTTGGAAAGCTCCTCGTAGGTACAGCAGGTGGTGGTGGTCTATCAAAAGATAACTTGAAACGTTCCTAGAATATCTTGCGGTAAAAGCTGTACTTTACAGATGATTCAGGATTGTTTGTGAGAAACAATTCGTGCATTTCCTTAACATCCAATTTTTTACTGAGGTATTGATAGTGATACTTGCCTGACCACTCTTCTAGGCTTTGCATTCCTTGGGGCATTTTTACCTCTTCTATAATGAGATGATTTTCTCAATGACAATAAGTTAGCCAAGCGCCGAAGACGGTCTACAGTGGTTTTAAAGACATTATACTTTCCCGAACTGGAACACACATAGTATTTGTATGATTTACTTTTTGATTTTACATTATTTGATCTACTCTGGGTCGTTTTTTTGAAGTTATTAAACACTCATTTAAAGCTTGTAAATATACGTCCTGTTCATTTTTCGTTTCTAGATCATAAAATTTATTAAAAATCTCTTGCCGATCACTTTCGGGAATTTTAAGAAAACAGCGTGACCTACATCTAATAGTTAAAAACGGACGTGAGATATTTTTAACAGAAACAAAAGTATTTGTCATATCGACATGGTTCACCCATTGTCCGTGCATTTACTTTGTTGCCTCTGCAATTCAGATATTCCTTGCCCTTCACTCGTGCACCTTTAACACTTCATTTCGATAAATAACTTGTTTTAGCCCCTTTTTGCATTTTTTAGGAGTAACTTCTGCAGAACAGTTCGTCTCAGACGACGACATTGTCAAAACCAAAAATTCGTAGCGTTTATTTGAGAACCGTCTCACGTCCAGAATTTGTGGGGTTTTTCAAATAAATGCAAATTTCGTACTAGCGCTGAAATGGACTTGTTATATATGTTGGACATGTGTAATTTCTTTTGAAAACTGCGTCTATTGTAAAACATCGTGTTAAACTAAAAAAAGTCGAAATGTTAAATTTATGAACATGTGCGGTTTCTCAAATAATCGATTCAAATGTCAAGACTTATTATTATACTTCATCATAGGGTCGTCAGTCATAAGACTGGTTAGACACGCACCTCCACTCTTTTCTATCCCATGCTAATCTTTGCATTTTCCTAAAACTAGAACATCCCACATCTTCAACTATTTGCGAACAGTAGTTTAACCTAGGTCTACCTCTACCCCTCCTTACTCCTGCTTCTGCCTCTAATATGTCTCTGACTATACCTTCATGTCTGAGAAGGTGTCCTACCAACCTATCTCATCTATTTCTTATTGATTTCCATAGAGTTTTCTAATATCCCTTCATTTCTAACCTTCTCTATCCACGTTATCCTCATCAACCCATATCCTTAACTATTTGCGAACAGTTATCTAATCTAGGTCTACTTTTACCCCTCCTAACTTCCGTTTCTGCCCCTAATATGTCTGACTAGACCTGCATGCATGAGAAGGTGTCCTACCAACCTATCTCGCCTACTTCTTATTGACTTCCATAGAGTCCTCTGCTTTCCTATTCTTTCTAATACCTCTTCATTTCTAATCTTATTTATCCACTGTAGCCTCATCATTTCCAACGATTTTAACCTTTTTCGCCGCGCCCATTATACAATGCACAGTGTGCATGTTTCGCACCCGTACAGCGCCCTACTCCAAACATTCATCTTTAACAACCTTTTTCGAATTTCTAAATTAACCGTTTGCGAGCACAGTAGTGACTTCTTTTTATTGAAGGCGACTCGACGCTGCACTATCCTCTGCTTTATATCCCTACTACTTCTTCCGTCCTGACTTATCTGACTTCCTAGATATCTAAAATCAGCCACTTCTTCTAATTTCTCGTCTCCTATTTTTATATTCGCACTTTCCCTTCCTTCACTTCCCCTACATACCAGTATTTTTGTTTTACTTTTATTTATTTTTAGTGTTATACTTTATGGTCTAAGAAAAATAAATTAACTTATAACATATCTGCCTTTTTTTACTATAGCGCACACAGAAAATTTAATTTAGTGTTTGTAACGAATGATAATTATGAATAGTCAGCAGCATCAGTGTAAGAAAATCCAGCTAGTCTGCTGGCTAAGGATCTTATTATGAAAATGAATTGATAACGAAAGCAGTTTTATCTGTATTTCCTTTTTTTAGGGATTCATTGGAAAAAGCACAGGAAAATTATAACCCCCGCTTTCCATTTTAAAATTCTGGAAAATTTTATAGATGTATTCGAAAAGAATTCTAATATTTTGATAAAAACACTGGAGAATGAAGTAAACAGCAAATCTTTTGATGTATATCCATATATTAAACTTATGGCTTTAGACATAATATGTGGTAAATATTACTATTGAATTAGAAGAACTAAAGGCTTCATCAATCCAGCAGTATCAATATACATTTTTGGTGATAATGTTTTTATTCAATTATTTCATCTTGTTTTTATAGAAATAAAACGAATTAAACTAATTATGTATTTTAACTATGTGCGAGTTTTTTAGAGACTGCACTGGGAACTGAAATTAATGCACAATTAGACAAAGAATCCAAATACGCAAGCAGTGTAGAAGATTTGTGCAGTTTAGTAATAAAGAGGGGAATAAACATTGTTTACAAACTTGAGTTTCTCTATCAAAGAACTAATTTATATAAGCAAGAACTTCAAGCTCTTGATGTTTTACATAGCACAACTCAATCTGTCATTAAGAATAAGAAAGCTAAAATGGGAAACAGCTCAGTAACAGATGAGACAGAAAACGAATATGGGATTAAAAAGAAATTGGCATTTTTGGATTTGTTGTTACAATCTACCATCGACGGAAGGCCATTATCAGATGCCGAACTACAGGATGAAGTTTCTACATTTATGTTTGCTGTACGTATTGTCATCTAGTACTTAAAATCCATTATAAAGTAAAATTAAACAGCAGAGGTTCCATTTAAATTATCGAGAATTCCCAACTTGTTGTGAAGATATAGAAATAGATATATTGCGAAAAAAAAAAAGGGAAAGACACCATGCTTGTGACGCATAGGTATATTCGACAGTTTTCATTTCCACCACTTTCAATGTCCTAAACCAAAAAACGAACCCCTTATTTTTTAAAATTTTCTTCATTTGACTCAGTCCGTCCCAATCCTCATTCAACAATTCATAGCATTTTTCTCGAATTGTACTATCCTTATATACTCCTAACACATTTTTCAGGCATTCTATCTTCCTGTCAGAAATCCTACACTATTGATGAGTAAAATAGGTTTTGATCTTGCAGACTTAGTCTGGATCTTGCGAAAATGCAAGACTAACACTGTATTTATACTAGCTTTATCAAGACTAAGAAAGACTAAAACCAGACCGAATATGCAAAACCAAGACTGACGAAATGAAAAATTATTACTTCTGGTGGATTTATGAGAAACTGTCTTAATCAAGTTTAATTTAAGTAGGTATTCTTTAAACAAAATATTTTTAGTATTTGAAATTTTCAGTTTGCTTTATTATTAAGAATTATTAAAGAAAAACGTAAATATCAGATTAAATGAGCAAGACCAAGACCAAGACTAGAAGATTTTGAGCAAGATCAAGACCGAATAAGCCAGACTAAGACTGCAACAGTCTTGGTCTTGGTTTTGCTTTGCTTATCACTATCTTACACCGTCTGTCGTCTTTCTTGTTTTAATATTTACAATCCCTACACTCATCCCTGTCTTAAATTTTGCTAGGAAATTTGTTTATCTCCCTCCTTCTAAACATCTTGATACTCAATACCCTTACTATTCCCTCCACAAAATCTCCCTCAGCCTCGCTACAAATCTTGACTCCTTTATTTTTCTTAGATCCTCTCCCTTTATCATTTCACTGTATTTGCTCTTCATCAATTCCCTCACGTTAAAATAAACCTGAATTTGAATTAAAGATTTGTACCTTCACCTACCTGCCGAATCGCTATATCGTATACTAAGTAAGGCCTATAACTCTTTGCTGACAGTTGGTTAAGTGGATAGCGGTTCCAGTAAAAGAGTCCCATCAAATCGTACCATTAAAAAACAGTTTTTGATAAAATGTTAGTCCTGGAATTTATACCAGTATATTTCTGGTAGGGCACAAATGGCTCTTATTATTCTAAAGTTAGTTTCTTTTATGGTTTGGAAACCTTATAGCGCCTTTCTTTACAAATTAATATTAGTAGTACTTCCAATAACCTTTTCTTTAAAAAAAGGCTAGTTTCCGTAGTGGTGGTGAACTAAACACTTGTATACCTAAGTAGAAAGAGGAGATTGTGGTAAATATTAATTAAAAATTAAAAGGAATACTCACCCCTAATTACCACAAAAAAAAACTTTATTTGAGCGGACACGTGTTTCACCAACTTCATACGTGGGTATCTGTCTCGCGCTGATAAAGCCCACCTATAAAGTGTATTTTTGTGGTAATTAGGGGTGAGTCTTCCTTTTAATTTTTAACTTGTATACCTAAGAAATGCATATAATTTTTACAGAGAAAACCACAATAATCTTTTATTTTTCTGTCCCTTCGTCTATTCAACACATAACACAACTGTTATTCTCTAAGAAATCAGAAGTTGTCTTTCTTCTGGAACTGTTTATTGCAACAAAAAGAAATCACATCTCACAAATAGCTTCATTGTAATTAATAATTTTGAAATGTAGATCGAATTGTTAAAGCGTATATTATTGTCTCATGCAATCAAAATCTGATTTAATTATATGTTAAATTTCTCAAATATCGCTAACATTCTAATTTCTTATAGGGTCATGACACCACAGCTTCTGCAATCAGCTTTGTTTTGTACAATTTATCATTATACCCTGATATTCAGAATAAAGTGGTGATGGAGCAAAAACTTATATTTTCTGATAATTTTGATAGAACCTGTTCTTATTCCGATCTAAATGAAATGAAATATTTGGAAGCGGTGATAAAGGAATCATTAAGACTGTTTCCCTCGGTTCCAATGATAGGAAGGATGCATGATGAAGATATCGAATTCGGTAACGTTGACTTTTACCTGCTATGTGATAGTATTTGATAGAATATGCTCAAGTAACAAAGTTAGTTCGATAAGGTACAGCCTCTTAAAGATGCTTATATTCATCATGATAAGGGATTATCAATAAATTATATAACGCAAAATTCATAAATTACTGAGCCCCTCCCCCTTACCTATTATGTTACGTAACGCATGCTTTGTAAAAGTTTTAGGCTTGAATTTAGACATTTAAATTTTTAATAATCACCTATTACAATTCTTAATCTAGATGATCTCCCGATAATCGATTACTTGGTACGAGGTTCTTATACATATCCTTTTCGATAATACCAAAGTAAATGCAAGATTACTGAACTCAGTTTTTGTAGTGTGAATAATTATTTTGTTATTTTTGTATGATATGCTAATTATAAGTTAATGTATGTAATTTCCTTGTTTATATTTTAGATGGAATTAAGATTCCAGCCGGGACGCCCTTGATTATTTTTATTTACGGTTTAATGAGAGATCCAAAACATTTTCCGGAACCGGAAAAATTTAATCCGAATCGATTTCTCGTTAAAGGCGAAGGAAATCACTCGCCTTTTTCTTATATTCCTTTCAGTGCAGGACCAAGGAATTGTTTGGGTATGTACAATGTATTTAAAGAAGCTATGATAAATGTAACTGGGTAAATTGTACCATATAGGTACCTACCTAAAAAAAATCAAAAAGGGAACCGAACGTTTGTAATCTAAACTATTTAATAAGGTTATTGACATTATAAAAGTGCGGGGCAGCTGCAGTGATGAGCAAACGTAAGACCAAGACAAGATAGAGTTTTGGTCTTGACTTGTTTTGGTACATTTAGTCTTGGTGTTTTACAAGACTAATCGTAACGGTTGTATATAACATTACATAGTATCCATAAATTCATATTCAAGTTATTGGTACAAAGTTGGTACATCACAAATTGTTTATTTAAAACTGCAAGCTAACACCTATTTACCTACTGTCTTAGTGGGTTAATTAGCAATCGTCTAACCAGCGAAATCAATATTTATCAAAAGATAAAAGTCAAGAAGTCGAGAGTTGAATACAAGATCACGAAGATGCAGGGTGGTGAGACGGCATACCGTGTTCATTTAACCTATGATAGTTCTCTGTCATTTATACATTTCCTAATTATCTAATAAGTTGGGCTAAAATTACTAACTATAGTTAAATTGTTGACTAGTCATCCTAAATTATAAAATCGCTTTTAAACAATATTAAGGTGATTATATGCATATTCGATGCAATAAGCTCCCTTGGAAATCCGATACTATTCGTACTATTTCGAAATGTTGACTTCATTGGTTGTCATTATTTTATAAAGAGAAAATCCATTTTATGTTGTTTTTAATCTACCAAATTAGTTGATTATAGAACACCTCATACCTACATCTCATAATAGGGACTACTTAGAGACATATTAGAAGCAGAAACATACGAATGCGTAGAACGGTCAAACAATTATTTGTTTGAAATTTCGACTTGTTGAGTTGTTTGTTGTGAGAAAATATATTTTAATTGAAAGAGTTCTTTCTGGTATTCTCACTTTACACGCCAAATTAATTGCGAGCAAACTATTTTATGTAAATGATAACGATTGTTGTTTTAAATATTTAATAGTCAACACTTAACTTACACGTAGAATTAAAATAAAACTAAATAAATAAAATTAGATGTAAAAGTATAAAAGTAGGCTCTATGATTGAATATGAATTGATTGTTGCTTGTTGATACTGTTTCGATACTGATTTGATACTGACTCGATACTCTCTTGATACTGATGAAAATGTGTATTACTAATTACATAAATAGCTTCGCCAGTGGGCGTTAACAATAACATTGAGGGTGCAAGGCGACCCTGTCAGTCAGGTCAATACCCCATTTCAGGTACAGACAAAATAAGTGAATTTAAATTTGGAAATTACAGTAATATAGCGAACGTGACTTTACAAAGGAAGAAATGTTACAATAAGATAGTAGAATACATTATAAAATTTATGGTTCAAAAATACTGAGATTACTGTTTGCATTTGATAAATAATATATACCTGAAAATTGTAGCTAAATAATAAAATGAATAATAGAATTGAATTTGTATACAAATAGAAAATAATACTTAAAATTTCCGACAATAATAAAATTAGTATGCAAAATAAAATAAACCTATAGTATTGTAAAGATGCAACAGAGTATTGATCTACCCATTAGTATAAGAAGCATGATAGACTTTCACGGCCAGAATCAATGGTATCGTAGAATTATGATTCGGGCTGAACCGTGGTCTAAATAAAATGTTAGGTCTAGACGCTTCGTTGGCAAGTGTGACTGAAATCTTCAGTTCCCACGTTGTCAATGCAGTATCACTGAAGATGTCAGCCGTAATTACCGATAAAATATCTGGACTTAACAATTCATTTATCAGACCACGGCAAGTCGAACTTTCGAGTTGCAAGTTGAAATTTCAAGTTACAAGTCGAAATTTAAAAAGAAAATTATGTTTGGCTCTTCTACGCTTTCGTAGAAACAGAAGACCCAGATTAGATTACTGTTCGTAAATTGTTAAGGATGTGGGATGTTCTACTTTTAGGGAACAACGAAGATTAACTCAGGATAGCAAAAAGTGGAGGTGCGTGTCCAACCACTCTTAGGACTGATGAAATGATTAATATAAATAGCCGAGTTATTCAACGAAAGTTCAAGTTCATAAATTTTATTTTCATTTGTGCTTATTTCATGGAATTCTTCAAGCTATTATTGTTTAATTCTGTTTTATAAGGAAAATGTCGCAATAAAAGGTCAAATTTGTAATAATAACGCAATTTGTTTATATTTATTTACAAAAAAAATTTCTGATCCGCTTCTTTGTTTTGTAATTGTACAGTATTAGAATACAGGTGAGAATTTTGCGAGAAACTTACGGATGAGTCTTACTCTTGGTCTTGTTCATTTAGTCTTGGTGTTGATCTTAGTTTTGTTAAATGTGCAAAACTAAAACAACACATGACAAAAACGCGAGACCAAGCCGGTTTTTACTTATCAGTAGAAGACGATATACTGCGTGTGTATAATTTTTCTTTTGTGGAACAACTTCGGTTGAACTAGTTAATTATAGCGATGAGAAAAAATAGTCTTGATCCTACAGTTTTGTCTTTTATTGTCTTTGTTTTGCACATGAAGCACGAAAAGTGTAGTTACAAATATTTCAATTAAATTTTATGTAGGTAACAAATTGCGTTATTATTAGAAAATCGGTTCCTTTGTACAATTGAAAAATAGAGGAGAAAAGTTTGAATAAAGCCCTAAAATAAACACGAAAAAAGTGCATATTTCTTGCATTGACAATATGCAGGATAGGTAACCAAAACTTGTACTTTGTGAAATCGGACACTTGTTGAATAACTTGTCATCATATTCAGAATGTTACTGAAACTATAGGTACTTATCGTTCTTATGAGATGTGCGTGCTGTTCCATATTTAACTAAACAAAAAGAGGAAACAATTTTTTGTTCATTTTTGCGACTTTCTTCTTGAAGAATAATGATAACCAATGGTAAGGATAGATTTGAAATTGCAAGGTTACAATCGGAGAATTATGTAGCAAGATCAAGACCTGTCTTAATCCTGTGTTTGCTCATTATTAGCCTTTTAATGAAACTCTCTACGGCGTGCTGATGAGAAGTGACCTTTTACTTAACTGGGTTATGTTTTAATTGTTTGACTGATTAATTCTTTTAATTTTTTAATCTAGGTCAGAAATTTGCAATGTTAGAAATGAAGTCGGCTATTTCAAAAGTAATCCGAAGATACGAACTTCTTCCCGCTGATCCTGTACATGAACTTCTGTTATCGCTTGAAATAACACTAAGATCTTCAAATGGCATAAAGATAAGGATTCGAGAGAGGAAACAATAAAGACTTTATTTAAAATAATGGTTTACAATTATGTAGTTCAACCAATAAATGCATAGGTTTGAATTGAAAATGTGTTTTAATGCTACATACATACAAAATAAGAATTTGCCTTACAAAAAACGCTAAATATGTAAGATCTATTTATACTTTCTTCCAACACACCTACGGAAACTGTTTATTATACATATGTGATAACGTTTTTGGAATGATACAAATTGAAATTAACATTACTCAATCGCGTATTCAAATAAAAAAGGATGAAAAAAGAAAAAATTTTGATAGTTTTATATAATAAGACGGTATTTTTTTAACAACTACGACTAACTGTTAAAAATTAAATAATAAAAATANAACATTTTCCGGAACCGGAAAAATTTAATCCGAATCGATTTCTCGTTAAAGGCGAAGGAAATCACTCGCCTTTTTCTTATATTCCTTTCAGTGCAGGACCAAGGAATTGTTTGGGTATGTACAATGTATTTAAAGAAGCTATGATAAATGTAACTGGGTAAATTGTACCATATAGGTACCTACCTAAAAAAAATCAAAAAGGGAACCGAACGTTTGTAATCTAAACTATTTAATAAGGTTATTGACATTATAAAAGTGCGGGGCAGCTGCAGTGATGAGCAAACGTAAGACCAAGACAAGATAGAGTTTTGGTCTTGACTTGTTTTGGTACATTTAGTCTTGGTGTTTTACAAGACTAATCGTAACGGTTGTATATAACATTACATAGTATCCATAAATTCATATTCAAGTTATTGGTACAAAGTTGGTACATCACAAATTGTTTATTTAAAACTGCAAGCTAACACCTATTTACCTACTGTCTTAGTGGGTTAATTAGCAATCGTCTAACCAGCGAAATCAATATTTATCAAAAGATAAAAGTCAAGAAGTCGAGAGTTGAATACAAGATCACGAAGATGCAGGGTGGTGAGACGGCATACCGTGTTCATTTAACCTATGATAGTTCTCTGTCATTTATACATTTCCTAATTATCTAATAAGTTGGGCTAAAATTACTAACTATAGTTAAATTGTTGACTAGTCATCCTAAATTATAAAATCGCTTTTAAACAATATTAAGGTGATTATATGCATATTCGATGCAATAAGCTCCCTTGGAAATCCGATACTATTCGTACTATTTCGAAATGTTGACTTCATTGGTTGTCATTATTTTATAAAGAGAAAATCCATTTTATGTTGTTTTTAATCTACCAAATTAGTTGATTATAGAACACCTCATACCTACATCTCATAATAGGGACTACTTAGAGACATATTAGAAGCAGAAACATACGAATGCGTAGAACGGTCAAACAATTATTTGTTTGAAATTTCGACTTGTTGAGTTGTTTGTTGTGAGAAAATATATTTTAATTGAAAGAGTTCTTTCTGGTATTCTCACTTTACACGCCAAATTAATTGCGAGCAAACTATTTTATGTAAATGATAACGATTGTTGTTTTAAATATTTAATAGTCAACACTTAACTTACACGTAGAATTAAAATAAACTAAATAAATAAAATTAGATGTAAAAGTATAAAAGTAGGCTCTATGATTGAATATGAATTGATTGTTGCTTGTTGATACTGTTTCGATACTGATTTGATACTGACTCGATACTCTCTTGATACTGATGAAAATGTGTATTACTAATTACATAAATAGCTTCGCCAGTGGGCGTTAACAATAACATTGAGGGTGCAAGGCGACCCTGTCAGTCAGGTCAATACCCCATTTCAGGTACAGACAAAATAAGTGAATTTAAATTTGGAAATTACAGTAATATAGCGAACGTGACTTTACAAAGGAAGAAATGTTACAATAAGATAGTAGAATACATTATAAATTTTATGGTTCCAAAATACTGAGATTACTGTTTGCATTTGATAAATAATATATACCTGAAATTGTAGCTAAATAATAAAATGAATAATAGAATTGAATTTGTATACAAATAGAAAATAATACTTAAAATTTCCGACAATAATAAAATTAGTATGCAAAATAAAATAAACCTATAGTATTGTAAAGATGCAACAGAGTATTGATCTACCCATTAGTATAAGAAGCATGATAGACTTTCACGGCCAGAATCAATGGTATCGTAGAATTATGATTCGGGCTGAACCGTGGTCTAAATAAAATGTTAGGTCTAGACGCTTCGTTGGCAAGTGTGACTGAAATCTTCAGTTCCCACGTTGTCAATGCAGTATCACTGAAGATGTCAGCCGTAATTACCGATAAAATATCTGGACTTAACAATTCATTTATCAGACCACGGCAAGTCGAACTTTCGAGTTGCAAGTTGAAATTTCAAGTTACAAGTCGAAATTTAAAAAGAAAATTATGTTTGGCTCTTCTACGCTTTCGTAGAAACAGAAGACCCAGATTAGATTACTGTTCGTAAATTGTTAAGGATGTGGGATGTTCTACTTTTAGGGAACAACGAAGATTAACTCAGGATAGCAAAAAGTGGAGGTGCGTGTCCAACCACTCTTAGGACTGATGAAATGATTAATATAAATAGCCGAGTTATTCAACGAAAGTTCAAGTTCATAAATTTTATTTTCATTTGTGCTTATTTCATGGAATTCTTCAAGCTATTATTGTTTAATTCTGTTTTATAAGGAAAATGTCGCAATAAAAGGTCAAATTTGTAATAATAACGCAATTTGTTTATATTTATTTACAAAAAAAATTTCTGATCCGCTTCTTTGTTTTGTAATTGTACAGTATTAGAATACAGGTGAGAATTTTGCGAGAAACTTACGGATGAGTCTTACTCTTGGTCTTGTTCATTTAGTCTTGGTGTTGATCTTAGTTTTGTTAAATGTGCAAAACTAAAACAACACATGACAAAAACGCGAGACCAAGCCGGTTTTTACTTATCAGTAGAAGACGATATACTGCGTGTGTATAATTTTTCTTTTGTGGAACAACTTCGGTTGAACTAGTTAATTATAGCGATGAGAAAAAATAGTCTTGATCCTACAGTTTTGTCTTTTATTGTCTTTGTTTTGCACATGAAGCACGAAAAGTGTAGTTACAAATATTTCAATTAAATTTTATGTAGTTAACAAATTGCGTTATTATTAGAAAATCGGTTCCTTTGTACAATTGAAAAATAGAGGAGAAAAGTTTGAATAAAGCCCTAAAATAAACACGAAAAAAGTGCATATTTCTTGCATTGACAATATGCAGGATAGGTAACCAAAACTTGTACTTTGTGAAATCGGACACTTGTTGAATAACTTGTCATCATATTCAGAATGTTACTGAAACTATAGGTACTTATCGTTCTTATGAGATGTGCGTGCTGTTCCATATTTAACTAAACAAAAAGAGGAAACAATTTTTTGTTCATTTTTGCGACTTTCTTCTTGAAGAATAATGATAACCAATGGTAAGGATAGATTTGAAATTGCAAGGTTACAATCGGAGAATTATGTAGCAAGATCAAGACCTGTCTTAATCCTGTGTTTGCTCATTATTAGCCTTTTAATGAAACTCTCTACGGCGTGCTGATGAGAAGTGACCTTTTACTTAACTGGGTTATGTTTTAATTGTTTGACTGATTAATTCTTTTAATTTTTTAATCTAGGTCAGAAATTTGCAATGTTAGAAATGAAGTCGGCTATTTCAAAAGTAATCCGAAGATACGAACTTCTTCCCGCTGATCCTGTACATGAACTTCTGTTATCGCTTGAAATAACACTAAGATCTTCAAATGGCATAAAGATAAGGATTCGAGAGAGGAAACAATAAAGACTTTATTTAAAATAATGGTTTACAATTATGTAGTTCAACCAATAAATGCATAGGTTTGAATTGAAAATGTGTTTTAATGCTACATACATACAAAATAAGAATTTGCCTTACAAAAAACGCTAAATATGTAAGATCTATTTATACTTTCTTCCAACACACCTACGGAAACTGTTTATTATACATATGTGATAACGTTTTTGGAATGATACAAATTGAAATTAACATTACTCAATCGCGTATTCAAATAAAAAAGGATGAAAAAAGAAAAAATTTTGATAGTTTTATATAATAAGACGGTATTTTTTTAACAACTACGACTAACTGTTAAAAATTAAATAATAAAAATAAACGATTTATGAAAATGAACTGCGAGTACCGATACGAATACTTTTTACAGATGCCACTACATTACTTAGTTTAAAAAAGAATATGGTAACGCAATAAAAACAACAAGTAGGTAAGCACCTACTCATATTTTAACGTGAAACCCACATCCTCGGATATTTGCGAACAGTAATCTAATCTAAGTCTACCTCTACCCCTTCTAACTCCCCTTTCTGCCTTTAATATGTCTCTGACTAGACCTTCATGCTTGAGTAAGTGTCCTACTAACCTATCTCGCCTATTTCTTATTGACTCCGTAGATTCCTCCGTTCTCCTATTCTTTCTAATACCTCTTCATTTGTAACCTTCTCTATTTACGGTATTCTCATCATTCGCCTGTAACACCACATTTCGAACGCTTCTAATCTTTTCTTTTCCGTCGCGCCCACTGTCCATGTTTCGCACCTGTACAGCGCTGCGCTCCACACATACACCTTTAACAACCTTAATTAACCGTTCGTGAGTCCTGACTTATCTGCATTCCTAGATACCTAAAATCAGCCACTTCTTCTAATATATCGTTTCCTAGCTTTATATTCGCTCCTTCCTTACTTTTTCTTCCATTGCATACCAGTATTATACAAATTAAGTATCACTATTCTATTTTTATAACTTATCCCTACATTTTTAAGTAGGTATATTTGATATCTTGTTCCATTTAACACAGTCAAAAGATTTTTTTAGAAATACAATTTCATCCCCATAGGAAAGAATAAAATCGAACAATTTTAAGTATTACCCTTTGGAAGACGTTCCTGTATTATTTATAAAGTACCTATTATACGTATTCTTGAGAGAATGTGTATGCAGTCTGTGCGAAACAATCCGATCAGTATTGACCAAAGTACACTTTTTCGACGAAATTTCTAGTGAATTTGAGAATATGTGCTTTTTGTATATTTACTATTCACATTCTAGTAATTTTAATTTGCTATTGACTGTTACTTATTCTTTTGAAGCGAAGGTTATATTTTATTGTTTAACATTCAGCAGGAAGTAAATATTTTACGTGTTATTACTTAATACATAATAATAATTTGGTTCCTATTTGTTTCTAATATGGGCGCAGTTTAAATGTACTGACAGATTTTCGCTCGGCCTTATTAGATAGTTCTTAAAAATGAGTAGGTATAATAATCACTAATGATAATGGCTAATTGGTTTTTTCGAATTTTAGTACGAAATGATATCTTAGAAATAAAGTGAAATCATTACCAATATCTAATCAATAGAGGTCATTATCATCCATCATCAAAAGGTCGTCAGTCCTAAGACAAACCTGAGCTAATCTTTGCATTTCCCCAAAACTATAACAACCCACATCCTTATCCATTTACGAACAGTCATCTAATCTAGGTCTACCTTTACTCCTCTTAACTCCTGTTCTGCCTCCAATATGGTTCAATAGAGGTACAGGAAATCAAAAACGTAGTTGTATAGAATTAAAAATTCTAAGAAATGTAGCGTTTTTTCCAATGGATCCCCGATATTCTAAGAAATTTGTAAAGTCGAAAAACGAAAGTTGTAGATACTAAAAATATCTATCGATTTATTTTTTGTCGTTATTATTACTGCAGTACTTTTCAGGGTACCTATATCGAAAAAAAATCGTTTTCGGCGTAGCTTTTGCAATTTAACGTTTTTTAACTTGCTACTCTGTAAATACAGCCCTTGGTAAGCTATAAAAGTATCCTTTTTGGAAATTATAAAATATTGAAAATTTTTCAGATCGTTTTTTCGAAAATCGGCTCCTCTATCTCAAGAAAAGGTTCGACGCAAAACATTTTGGGCTTCTTTAAGGGTTGTACTTTCACGGTAAAAAAGAGTAGCAAGGATTTTATTGGTATAAGTGTACATTTTTTAGAATATTCGAGAAATCGTGAATCCATTGCAAAAAATGCTGTTTTTTACAATTTTTAGTTCTATACGACCATAGTTTTTTATTTCATGTTGGTACTTTCGGAAAATTTAACATGGACCGTTCCCTATTTATTGAACTATAAGCACATTACAACGAATGCGGCGTAAGTATACTAATCAGAGGTTCCCAGACTTTTCTGGGTCATGGCCCTTTTGTTATAAATACAGAGAAGGGGGTCAATGGGAATACCTAAGAAAAAGCTAAATCTTCTTAAACTCAAATACAATGATTTCTTGATTCTGGTTTCGTTGTTGTTCCATGGAACGCTGTACTTGTAAGACTATAACGGCAACTAGGGAACGGTACCGTCCCCGATGGGGATATATATATATATATATATGTTGCCGGAAATGTATGAAATTTAGTTATTATATATATTTCTAAAATTGCTCAACTTCGACCAAAAACAGCATCGCATTAACATTGTTAAGGAACTGTTAGATTCTGTCCTCGAAGACCCAAATTTGCTCCATAGGGTTATAACTGGTGACGAATCATCGGTGTATGGTTATGACGTGGAAACCAAAGCTCACTCATCCCAAATGAAGCTGCCGCACGAGCCAAGACCGAAAAAAGCTCACCAAGTTAGGTCAAATGTGAAGGTTTTGCTTACAGTTTTCTTCGATTGCAGGGGCGTGGCGCATCATGACTTCTGTCACAGGGTAGAACGGTCAATAAGAAATATTACCTGCAAGTTATGCCCAAAAATTGGCTTTTGCACCATGATAACGCCCCTGTTCACACATCGTTTCTTGTGGGCGAATTTTTGTCCAAAAACAACACATTAATAATACCGCGTCACCATACTCCTCAAATGACTTTTTCTTGTTCCCGTAACTGAAGAGGTCCTAGAAAGGACGACGCTACGCTACGATTGAGGAGATAAAGACGGCATCGAAGGAGGAGCTAATGCTTAGAGGATTGGGAAAAACGTTGGCACACGTGTATAATATCTGATGGGAATTACTTTGAAGGAGACGAAATGAATATTCATGAATATATAAATAATTTTTGAAAAACATAAAATTTGCGATACATTTTGAACAGACCTCCTATGTAATACATTAGTCTTCATGTTATCATGCGAATTCCAAGTTGCATGCGAGTTTTGAAACACGAGACTTATTAAAACTATGTATAATGTAGGTACCTACCACAGGTAATACTTATCCGAATGTGTTTGTATGTTAATGTTAATAGTAATAGATATAATACGACAGAATTGATACATTTAATAATAATTCGAACGTATTACAAACCAGTTCGTTTACATAATAATTTGTAGTGAAAAATAAATGAACAAGAGTAATTGTTATCTTTTAAATTGGACCGGTGAATATTTTAAATTCCGAGTTTATCATGTTTCATTTCCATTTACTCATGTATTTCATTTATTTTCACTTTCAAATAAAAAGTAATTAAGATTTGGTTAAAATTTTGAAAACATTTTAATGAATTGCATTATACAAGAAAGATAATTATATCAGTTGTAGTTATATATATATAAATTTGTCTTTTGGGGTGAGCGGTGTGCGAAAAGCATTCTACTATCTACCTACACCAGCGGTTGGGGAACCGGGGTAAATTACCCCAAATGGGGTAAAAATGAAATTTTTGGGGGTAAAAATGAAACTTTTGTGAGTAAAAAGTATATATTTTTAATTTGCTATTTTATAAACCTGTTAGTATTTTTTTCAACTTAAACAATTTAGCGACATATGCAGGCCACGCCATCTCACTCCCCACCACTAAGTGTTCAACATCAAACAACATCATTTCTCCAAAATAAAAAATATTTTTTATGGGGGCTATATATAAAATTTAAACTAGTTTTTTCGTCTAATAATACAAGAAAAATATCATATGAATTACAAAATAACAAGAAATTATCATTTACTTATATTTTCTTTGGGGCAAATTTTTTTTCCTCAACTGTATATTACATATATTACTATTATTACCGTTATGTATTACTAGGTATTACATTGATAAATTGAATAAATGATGTCTAAATTAAATTTTTAGTTATTGTTTTCTTTTGAAAATTATCATGGGGGCTATAATATGAAAGATGCTAAAAAGAGGCGATTTCGTTTTTTTTGTAGATTGATACTTCTACTTTCAAAATCTGTTTGTAAAATTAAAATCACACGAACGAGAGATCATTGAGACTATGTATATGTATAAAATGGTGACTATCAATCCTCGATTGAAGTCTACAATAAAAATTAAAAGGTACTTTTGTAAATTTCAATAAACTTTATTAAAGTTGTATTAAAATTGTGCTGTGTGGCGAAACAGTTGTCAAGTTTCATAAAGTTTATTGAGATTTAAAACTGCTATTTATTTTTTATCAGGTGGATTCGCTGAAACAAGAAGGTACGACAAACACCAAATTGCTATTGTGGAAAAACTATTTATCCAACAATGACTACATATAAAGTGATGCAGTTTACTTTCATTTCCTGCAATCCCATCAACCGTACAACTACAATTACAATGGAGATACCAACGTTTATATCCAAGTTTTTCAATTTATCTCCATATTCTTTGTTAATATTGATTCGCTCAAGTCAGTGAAGGCCTCAAATTGTAGGTTTTTTTCAGTTTCTACAATTTATAAAATCCGTATTTCGGACGACTAAAATATAGTCTCGGTATTGATTTTGGTCTTACTTATTCGGCGTAAGTCTTGTTTTTGCTAATATAGTTTCCGTCTTGGTCTTTAATCTGATAGTTATGGTTTTTTTTTAATAATTTTTCTATGCACAAATTTTTCTATACACAAACACAATTATTTTAAATGCCGAAATTTTCTGTCATACATACGAGCTTGCCATAACTGTTGAAAAAAATAGTGTCGATAGCTGTGGGAGTCATAAAAACTCGAAAAATTACCCTTCCTCTAACGCATAAATTGACCTTTTAACGAAAAAAATACTACAAAGGACTTCAAAGAAGTAAAAATTAATTTGTCTATATTTCAACCATATGTTATTCAGACATAGGAAAAAGGAACACTTACTGCGAGGTCATTTTTGTAGATCATTTTTTCCAAACAATGGTAAAGTTTCTTTTGAAGTGAAACTCTTTTACGCACGATAAAGTAAGTTCATTTCATGTGAGTTTCTATGTAACGAAATCATGCAACGGATGTCCCCCGCTGTACTCGGCCACGTAGTCGAGTTCGTAGTGGGGATCGCTTGAGCCGTGAGTGCGCTTCAATGCAACGTTCGTTACAGGCAACTCCGGCATGTATAGTGTATAATTTAAATTCATAGTGAACAAATAATACCATTAATCCAATTCCTTAACCCCTATCTCGGTATGTTTGTGTGTTTGAAGAAGTTTAAATTCAGTAGCGTGTTGTATAATTACACATTGTATATTTTGTTGTTTTATATATTTATTGTTAAATTATAACAAAGCAAATTGAAAATTTCGAATACAAAAAATGCTTTGTTCCAAGAAAAGGATATATTAAAATTGCTTCAAATAGTTTAGCACATAAATCAACCGGAAGTAATAATTTTTCATTTAGTCTTGCGTATTTGGTTTTGGTCTTGTCTTGTTCATTTGGTCTTGGTCTTGCTGGTATAAAGACAGTCTTAGATAAGTCCTCGAGTTGCGAAAATGCTAGATCAAGACCAAGACTAAGACCAATCACTCATCACTATTCTCCGACCATACACAAACGTTTTTATGTTTCCTACTAATATCCCACATTATTTCTGATATATGTATTAGGATAGATTAAATTTCTTACGAAAATTTACATTTACTTCTTTCGATTACTGTGTACTCTTTGACTAATCTCAAGTAGTTTAACTTACTAACGACTTTAACTTCATCAGGTTTTCGACACTTCTAATTATTGTGTGGAAATATAAGGAAAACGTGCCGTTAAACTTGAGAGGATGGGTTCTCCAAATTGACGAGTTGTTTATAAGGTGTTTCGAGTATTAAATTCTGATGCATTTCCTACTGTAATTAGTCCAGGCAATAAGAGCGGGTGAGTGGAAAAAATTATTTGGATTAAATTCTATTACGTTTATTAAATTTTATTAGCCAGACCTCCTATGTAATACATTAGTCTTCATGTTATCATGCGAATTCCAAGTTGCATGCGAGTTTTGAAACACGAGACTTATTAAAACTATGTATAATGTAGGTACCTACCACAGGTAATACTTATCCGAATGTGTTTGTATGTTAATGTTAATAGTAATAGATATAATACGACAGAATTGATACATTTAATAATAATTCGAACGTATTACAAACCAGTTCGTTTACATAATAATTTGTAGTGAAAAATAAATGAACAAGAGTAATTGTTATCTTTTAAATTGGACCGGTGAATATTTTAAATTCCGAGTTTATCATGTTTCATTTCCATTTACTCATGTATTTCATTTATTTTCACTTTCAAATAAAAAGTAATTAAGATTTGGTTAAAATTTTGAAAACATTTTAATGAATTGCATTATACAAGAAAGATAATTATATCAGTTGTAGTTATATATATATAAATTTGTCTTTTGGGGTGAGCGGTGTGCGAAAAGCATTCTACTATCTACCTACACCAGCGGTTGGGGAACCGGGGTAAATTACCCCAAATGGGGTAAAAATGAAATTTTTGTGAGTAAAAATGAAACTTTTGTGAGTAAAAAGTATATATCTTTAATTTGCTATTTTATAAACCTGTTAGTATTTTTTTCAACTTAAA